CGAATTAGTTTCGGAGGAGTTTAAGGTGTGATTATCAGTTGCATTGGCCCAAGCGGAATAACTCCAGTCGAAGAGAGACGTATGAGGCAACTTGACGCTGATAAGGTTTATTCCATTTCAACCCAAGGCAGTTACGTTGTCAACTCAGTACCAACCGGTCTCTATTGCCCAACACAATGATAGCCCATTAGATTGCTACGCCCAGAGTGATGAGATGTTCTTCTGACAATGGAGAAAATCACGCTGGAAACCAGGGATGGTACATCCGTCTATAGTAAAGTTGTTCATCGCATTTATATTCGGAATTGAAGCTACTTAGGGCCTGTAAATGTGAGATTAATTGATGATCAATTATTGATCTCGATCTCCCATACCGCGAGGTTGATTACATTGAAGATAGCTACCTTCCTAGGTAGCTAGGGGCGCAGATAGGACCCGTTGAAATCCCGGATTAAGTAGCATGGAACTGGAGGACGCTGTCGACGACATGTCGTCACGCGCCAGTGTACTCCCATACGATCGCCAAATTTGCACGAACTGCGTGGGTACACAAATTGTCTAACTGCAAGAAGTGCAAGAAAACGTGATGAAATTACGCACGATGTAGGTTTAGGAATGCGTTGAAAAGAGTAGAACTGTAGTGTTGGGAGGCGTTTAGGATAAATAAGTAGGAAGTAGCGTATTAGAGGGGCATATGCTGAAAATGGGGTAGCATGTAGTTAAAATTTGTGGAAGAAATTTGAGAATGTGAAATATTAACGCACGATTATATCCACCTAGCTTAAAAGTATTAATATGCGTGCTAGTGAAACGACGCCTCGCCACGCACAATTCTTGCGGCGATATGAACTTGCGTAGTTTGTTCTTCCGTGTTTGGCCTTCCTCCCTACTAGCATGCCAGCATTACTGACATTCTCTAGCATCCGATTGGCTCCGCCATTACTACCATTATTGCCACCTCTCATCAAAGTTGGACAAATGATAGCCCCAGTAGTAATCCTCTCAGTATCCGTCCAAAAATGTGAGCTCTCATATACATCTTGACCATTGAGTAGCTAAACCAACTTATTTGCTACCAGAGAGCTAATACGAAAATGGCTACTTCGTGTTCAACCCCACGTCCATGTCGAGATTTTGGTAGTCATATGGAGTTTACTCTCCCTCGTTTGCAGTTCCTGGCCAAGATTGCTGCTAAAGGGGCTCTGGGAAAATACATTATAGCGTCTAAAACTAAGATATTAATAGGATCTAAATGGACAGCCAAAGCATTGCCCCTAGCCCGAGCGTAACGGAAGTTCACGGGAACTGTATACACTAGGAGCGCCTATATGGCAGTTACTCAATCAAACAGAAGGCTAATGGGAATCGCCATGAAGAATATCACTTCTGGATTTTCGACAAGTCGGTGGCGATCTTGTCGGTACTCACGGCTAGCTTGACGACTCTGATTATACTAGGCAGTCTTGAGAGGAATCCTTTTAATGAAAGGTAGCATTATCAATTTTATCTACGACTTCTGCGCGACTGTTGTTACTATGTGAAATTATCGCCTGACATGCCGCTGGAGTTTACAGTGTTTGCTTTCTTCAACTGAGGCCAGGAGTTCCTCACTGACTATAGAAATCTACATACGAGATCGGATACAAGTGTGATCAAAAACCAGCAAGAATTCCCCAAAATTTTCTCAGAATTTTCATACTGTCACCAACGTAATTCCCACACTGGAAGTTTATGCAATACAGCATTCTCAGATGGCGCCTCCTCCATCTGTCAATCACAGAGGAGCGGGAACTCGGCGAGAAAGCCGCTGAAGAAATGCTCGAGCAATGCCTCGCAAACGACGTAGACCGACGCACTCGCGTTCAAGTGGCATTAGATGTACATCAGGCGCGCGCTGTGCTCGCATCTGACCATCCATTGAGTCGAGAAGTTGTTCGCATAGTGGAGTCGCTGAACAGAGAACTGCCTCAGCTACTAGACGATTATTTGAAAAGGTGAGTCGTAATAACTTCAAAGAGTCTTGGAGGAGTATATGTTCGCTTCCCTCAGCTGAGCTCGTTTTTTTTCACACGAATTATAGTTCAAGTTTATATACGAATTCGGGTAGAAGTGCAGAGATTTCCCAAATCCATATTGTCACCCACACATGCAGTTGACCATGTGCATATTTCATACTGATCTCAACGCTCCTATCTGGTCTGCTATTGATCAGCTCGGGAGCTTCGCCTCACACGTGGGAGGAGAGTAAAGAGCTCATTCCGCACTGGAAAGTGAGAAGCATACGAACTGCGCTGTATAGGAGGTCCCTAAAGGTGCATCTCATTCTCTCTGACACTTGCAACGCCACCTGCCTCCCCAGTGGTGATATCTTCATATACGTTGGCTGCATCGCACGGTAGATGTTGATCGATGAATAGTAATGAGAAACACAATGTTAGTTGTGGCACTCGAGATCGTCTAGCAGCTATAATAGCGCATGAGATTGCCCATGTTATCAGCCGTCACGGTAGGCTACACTGTAGATTATCCTCACCGTATGATGAGCTCAGGTGCAGAACAGATCAGTGCTGCTGCTATTATGGACGTCCCTCTAGGGTGGGTCATCCTTAGGTTACCTCCTGTCAGTGTAGTAGAATATGCACATGGTCAACTACACGTGTTAGTACCAATGAGGAAATTTGAACAAATTCTTATTGGTTTCTGTACATCGCTACCCGAATTCGTGGGGGAACTTCTATGGTTAGTGAAGAAAAAATTCCCGAGCTCGGCTGAGGAAAGCGAACGGATATTCCAACACTTCCTCCTATACGTCCTATTCAAAGGTACTTCTCCTCATTCGCGACGCTCTCCATGACAGCCTTTGGTATTTTCCGATACCTCTTAATGTGGCACCGACCTCCCACTAGCTGGATCGTTGATTTACCGTAAACTCCTAGGGTCGTCCGAGCCGCTCTCAATCACACTTTAGATATTCAAGACACTGCGAACACGAAGCAGACGTGCTGGGCATGGAACTGATGAGCCGGGCTGGATACGATCCTCGGGCCGCTGTAAGTGAGTATGTATGAACTTGTGTTGGAGTTGGAATATATGCTCGCTTTCCTCGACACAGCTCAGGAGTTTCCAAAGCTAATTATAGAAATTTATATACGAATGATGGTATAAATGTGCAGAAATGAATAAGAATTTTACCAAAATTTCCCCGGAATTTCCATATGTCACCAACACATGTAGT